CCCCATTAGCAAGCACTAGTATATTCTCCATTTCTATAATTTTCTTATTTCAAGGATATTGTACAAATAGAATCATATACTATGTAACATTTTAGGATTGGCTTTTTTCACTCAGCATAATTCTCTGGAATGTCATCTAAGTTGTTGTATGTACCCATAGTTCATTCTTTTTTGTTGTTGTTGAGTAGTATTTCATGGTATGGATGTTAAACAGTTTGTTTAACCATTTACCCATTGGAGGACATCTGGATTGTTTCTTCTAGGTTTTGGTTGTTATGAGTAAAGCTGCTATAAACGTTCATGTACAAGATTTTGTGTGAATGTATGTTCACTTCTCAGATAAATTGCTGAGTTGTATGGTAGTTACATGTATAGTTTTTAAAGAAACTGCCAAACTCTTTTCCAGAGTGGCTGTTCTATTGTATTAATATATTACCACCAGAAATGTATGAGTGACCTAGTTTCTCAGCATCCTCCCCAGCATCTGATGTTGTCATTATTTTTTATTTTAGCCACTTAAATAGGTGTGTAGTGATACCTCATTGTGGTTTTAATTTGCATTTTCCTAACAGCTCAGAATGTCGAGCATCTTTTCATGGGGCCTTTTAATTTATTGATCATTCCACTTTCCCTAAAGTGTTTACCTAGGTACAGCAAGATACATAGGGTACTGCACAGAATTTACCACCTGGATAGTAAAATATCAAAGCAGTATTACCTAGGATAATTCTAGACAACAAATTTACAGTGATCTGTGTGGTCTTTAAAGCTTGAGCTGTATCATTTGCTATTTGGGCTACATGCAGGGATCGATTGTAGAGCACTTCTTTTAGTTCTGGAACAACTAGTCATAACAGAAATTCTCATGCAAACTGGTAATATGTAGCGTTTTGGATGAGTTGGAAGACCTTATGACCAGACTCAAACTACAGGTAGTGTTTGAAAGCACAAGAAAGCTATCTGATTACCCAACAGTTATCCCACGAGGTATACATTGAGAGGACACAAAAGTGTTATGATTACAAATTAGTATTAGTTGCTATTTGAATGTAATTGGCCTGATTATGGAGGACAAGGCCTTGAGTTGAATTAAACAAATCACATAATAGGTTTGACATAGCTTTATAAAAATATAATTGATCTGTTGCTTCTATCATTAATTCCTTATTCCTTCCTGTCCCTGATACATCTTGGTTTCTTTTGAAGCTTTGGGAGAAATCAGAAACCAGCTAATTGTTAAGGCCTAGGGTCTAGTTAAGGCATACATGTATACTGGAGTTCATAGTATTCCTGTATTGATTATAAAAGGGAATGTGATTATTAATTTTGGGCTGAAGTATAGTACCATTTGTGTTTATCAGTTTGGCTGTATGATCCTTACCAGAGGAACCTAAGATAAGGTGATAAATTCTACAGTTAGAAAGATTGGTAGCCATTGTAATTGTTTGAGAAAGGCAAGTGGGAATTCAAAGGTGTGAGACATTATTAGAGTAATGTCCCCAAAGAATCACACTTCCCTGTGTCCATACCCTTGGAATAGTCTACTGCCCCTTCTCCCCATCTCCATTCAAAGCTTAGCCATACAACTTGCCTGAGGCACAGCAGAGCTGAATTTGGGGCATAGGAGCCAAATAGCTGACTGCTGCACATTGAAGCTCTCCAGAGGAACTGAGTGAAGGCCTAGAACTCAGTGGATTTGGATGAGATGCATGTTCAAGCTGAGCATTTTAATTGGCTCTAATGAAAAGACTCAGTGGGGCAGATCTTAGTGGGACCTCCAGAAAGAACTCAAAGACATCCATAATAATTAAAAGTATGGTTGGAAGTTTACTTATATGTGAGGAATATTAATCAATTGGTTGATTTCTTTGATCAAAAGCAAAGACAGTTTATAAAAGAGAAGGAAAAAGCAGGTAGTTTTGGAACAGCGAGATATTTCCCCACTCCCTCTTTGAGAACAGAGAAGTTATCAAGAGTAAGAAGCTATAAACAGCAGGTTTACAGGATCATTAAGGAAATTAATTTCAGGTATTTGTGGATTTTTCTGAGAAATCGTATGATTTTATGTGAAGAACATATATGATGTGCTAATTCTGTGTGATGACTCTCATTGTACTACCAGCTAAGTTATTTCTCTCATAATGTCTCACCAAGAACTGAGAAGAGAGCAGTTAAATAGGTCCTGGGGAATGCAGCAGATGTGTGAACCAGGTGCCAGGTTTTCACTAAATGAGGATTAGTAACCTGAATGTCTGAAAGACAGTAGAATCACCAGATAGCATAAGGCTTGAAACAGGAAAACGTTTTATACCTGCATGAAATAGTATTATCTGTAAGGAATAGAGGGTAGAGTGGAGGATGCTACTCCACTTCCTGACCTTGAGGTATTTAGGCTTTTGGAGAAGGAGCACCTTCACCTAAGGGATCTGTAAGGGAAGCAGCATATCCCCAGTGGTGAGCCAGGTCTCAGGGAAAGCAGAGAGTAGAAAGAATGTAAGGTTGTTTGTTAACCATGCATGGCGTTGGGAGTAGTGGAAAATGCTGGGAAGAAAGGGAACCGTGGAATGTTGGATTGGTGGAATGACTCATAGGACAGTAGAGATGACCATGGATGGTGACCAAGGATATCAAAGGTTTACTTGGTTTAAACGATCTCAACAGTCCCTGAGGGATGAGAGAGGTACTGTCAGGTAGGAATCAGCTTATCATGCAGATTTATGTTTAAGTAACGCTTCAAAAAGACGTGGGTTTGGCACTTTTTCTAAGACTTTTAAAAAGGGGAACTGTAACTAGCAGGAACATTTTTGTTTAAAACATAAATGTAAATATTAACATTTATTTCTGTTACTTGTACCTGGAATTTTAATTTTCTTCTTCTGAACATTCCTTATGTGTTTATATATTAGTTATTAATTTCATGTGTGCATTTGAAAAATCATTACCTGATCTTTTTACTATAATATGGTTTAGATAATATATAGGTAAATACATGAGTGATTCTATATTTAAGAATTTTATTATTACTTTTTTCTAGCAAGGGTGCTTTACTGAAGAATTTCAGGTGTTGAATAAAAACATAGTAAGAACTTTACTGAAACTTCCTAAGTTTTGTGCACATGTAATATTTTCTTAACAGTTCATGTAACTTTAATATTGTTTGTAGCCTACATCTTTTTATTCTTTTTGTTATCCTACCAGTCAC